TACCCCAAACTAAGTGGCTTAAAGCGACAATCAACATAGCAACTTATCCATGTAGTTGGGTCTCTGATAAGATCAAAATCATGCCGATGGCTGGAGCTGCTGGCATCTGAAAGCTTTTCTGGAGCTGGAAGACCTGTCCAAGGTCACTCATTCACATGGCTGTTGGCAGGAGGCTTCAGTTCCTCCTTCAGAAAGTGTTCCAAAAATACAAAAGCCACAATGTCTTTTCTGATCTGCCCTGTGAAGATCACTCTCTCTGTAGTTTTGCAGCCTCCTATTAGTCACTTAAGTCACTCCTATTCATTCTAGGAAGGGACTGTACAAAGGTATGAATACCAGGTGCTGGGATCATCAAAGGCCATTTGGAGGCTGGCAGTCTGGGTCCATCTGGTGATCTCTTTGTCCTACCCCCAAGTGAAAAATGGTGAGGGAGAGTAACCACACAACCATTAACAAAGAACTTATTAAGAGTCAGGACCAGGAATCAAGTATCAGACTTACAAGTATGATTTAACAGTGCTAGCCAGGGTCAAGGACCAACCCAATCTTCTTAGTTTATTTTTCTTCTTAATTTTTCACACCAACTAGAATAACTTTGGTTCTTTTTCTGGTATCTATTTGCTAAACTTTACAAGTAAAATAGGCCAAATTTATAACATAGCCCCCTTGAAGATTAAAGAGCTTTGAAATTCCCTAATAAATTAACAGAAAAAAAAAAAACATTGCATTCTGGCCAGTTCCTGAGTCTAAGGGCTAAATGCCACACTGGAAGCTAGTATGCAATGCTGTTGATAGTTTCCTAATGGAATGTGCTCAGTTTTTTGGGGAACTCAATTTGTTTTTTAAAATTTTACTTATTTTGACTTATCTGAAAGCAGAGAGACACATAGACAGAAACCTTCCGTTTTCTGGTTCACTACCAAAATGCCTGCAACAACCTAGTCTAGGCCAAGCCAACATCATGAGCCAGAACTCAGTCTGGGTCTCCCCTGTCGTTGGCAGGGACCCAAGTACCTGAGCCATCGTCTGCTACCTCCCAGGGTGTGCATTAGCAGGAAGCTAGATTGGAAGCAGAGACAGGATTCAATCCCAGGCACTCTAATATGTGATGTGGTTATTCCAAGCAGTGTGAAAATCACTGTGCCAAGTACCCTTACACCCCACCCCATTCATTTTTGAAATTATGCAAGAAGATTAAATGAAAAAAAATTAAAGATTTATTTATTTATTTGAAATTCAAAGTTACAGAGAGAGAGAGATAAATCTTCTACCCACTGGCTCACTCCCCAGATTGCTGCAACCACTAAGGCTGGGCCAGGCTGAAGCCAGGCCAGGCCAAAGCCAGGAGCTTTATCCTGGACTCCTACATATGTGGTAGGGCCCAAACACCAGGGCCATCTTCCACTGCTTTTCCCAGGCCATTAGCAGGAAGCTGGATAGGAAGCAGAGCAGTGAAGGCATGAACCAGCACTCATATGGGTGCTGGAGTTACAGGTAGCAGCTCTAGCTCTAGCTGCTAGCTGCTACACAACACTGGCCCTAAATGAGATTTCTAAAAATCAACTCTATCATAAGTGGGATGAATTTTACAGGGAGAAGTAGAGCAGCTGAGATCCATCTTGACTGTGTTAGTAGTTCACCAGGTAGACTTGGGTAAGTCACTTAGCGCTCTGCCTCAGTTTTCTTACCTATCATAAACCGAGGTTTCTTCAAACTCAGACTGTAAGCAATGATCCTGGACCTTTTCTGTCAGGGAGACACGTGTGGGATCAGGAGCTGTGTCGTGTGTGTATGTGTGTCTGTGTGTGTATGTGTGTGTGTGTAGGTTTGTTTTGCTGGTGTTGTAGCTTTTGTTTTAAGGCAGCAGTTTAGATAAAATGGAGTATGACTTATGTGTAATTCCCAGTTCTAATCCTTTCCTCTTTTTTTACCCCCACAATCATCATTACTATTACATTAAAAAAAAACATCTTTGGAGAGCCTCACGATTTTGGACCATGTATCACCTGAAAGATTTTTCTTTATACAAAAATCCACCCTTTAAAAAAAAAAACACCAATTCTGTTCATAAGCTCCAGGCTTAATTAAATATTCTGAAGATTGCATTCTTTCCCCTAATTCTTGCTTAGTGCTACCATAATGAAAAATGTCCCCTTCTCCCCTGTATACCTTCTCCTCCAAAGAAGTCTCTGGAAGGCAAAGCCCCCTTGCTTCTAAATATCCTGATCCTCTATGAGGCCAGATCCCCTGTGTGTCCTACGTTTGCCTTTGTTGGAGGCCCAGAAAAGTCTGTAGAGGCAAGGTTTGCCCAGGGATTGACTGTATGGTGACTTCTTGGATTGGAAAAAGAGAGCTGTTTGATTGCCTAAAAGAAAAGTAAAAGCAACTGCTCAAATAACAAAGTCGAGTCTCTTATCTCAGAGCCCTTCTCCATGTCACTGAGACCCGTGTAGATGCCAGCCCAGACAACCACATGCAAGTCTGTCTAAAGGGCCAGGATCACTCTCTTAAAAGCAGCTCTGTTCATCAGTGCTCCATCTCCCTGCCAGGAGCAGGGCTGTTAGATCTCTTAGCAGCGCAGATGCTTCCACCTTCTTCAGAAAAGCAGCCCAGGCCCGTCACACAGAAATGGTCCCTGCTCACATCCATGATGAGTCTTGGGCATGGTGATGACAGGCTGTCTGCTAGCCTGGCCATTGCTGTGCGGCACGCTGAAGTCTTAGCAGTTGGCCGAGGTGGAACAAAGCCAGGGTCAAATAAAACATTGGAGCTAGACAGGAGTCAGCAGGACCCACCTGGCCATGCTCTCTGCAGAGGGGCTCAGCGGAAAACTATTAGATAAGCAAGACTGGACCCCAGCTCAGGGGCTTCTCGACACGGGAGGAAAGACCTTCAGGAGAGGAATTTAACAAGCTGACAGGATTTTAAGTGAAAGCATAACCCAGATACCTCTCAGCTGAGTCTTCCCTGTCTCTTGAGATCTAAGTAAGCTTTGCCTCGTGGAAGTTTGGATTCTACAACTGCATAGGGGCTCTGCTTTGGCTCTTGCTTCCATGTCCAGTATCTTAGCTCTGCAAGCTGTCAGATTTTGTTTAAAAGCATGCGTGAGCATGGTAGACCTTAGAAAAAGTCAGTGTCATTGAGGGGTCTCACATTTCCTATCGTACATTTCCCATAATGGCAATAGTTAACAGTTCCTATTAAATCCTCCTGTGTTCTATGCCTCACTGCTCAAGGTGTGGTCAGCAACACCTGTAGCCCCCGGGTGCTTCTTAGAAGGCCGTGCGAAGGTTCTCTTTTCCCTGGCCCTGACGCTGCAGTCAGTCTCTCCTCTTTCTTCCTGCTCCCTTCTCCCTCCTTGCCAGGAGCTTCCAACAAATTAGTTTTGTGCATGGCAGCCCTTTTCTCCCGAATTGGTCACTAACTGGGCCTTGAAGGTCTCCCCTTCTACCAGCACTCAGTCCTGCCCCCACACTTACTGATGTGTTTGTCTAACAAAGTTCCCCCAGGAGGGATCTGATAGCTATTGGGATAAACCAGTCTCTCCAGCTCACTACAAAAGATATCCCAACAGCCGGTTTTCCAAACCCCTAAATCAAGTCAAGATGAGGAGCCAGCATACAAGTGATAGGCATGGGCAACTGAGTCAGCAAGGTGACTCACCCAGGTGTTTGCTAGTTACTGGCAGAAGCAGGACTAGAAATCTTATATTTCCCAGCACAAGGCTCTCCCCACCATACCCCTCACCCTTCTACTCTGAACTGAACCTGAGGTGGCTACCAAATTCTATTCCTGAGCAGTAACCATGAATTATCTGGGTAGCAGATAACATACTGGGGACCTATCGTGTACAGCAAGCAATACCCAAAGATCAGAAGGAGTAAAGCAAGCCCAGCTTTCTCATGTTACCTGCCTTTGCCCAGACTCCTCACTCAGACCCAAACCCTTGTCCCCTCTCCCTGCCTGGTAAACTCCTACGTATCATAGAGGGTCCACACATGGGACCTTCTCGACTCTTTCAGATGAAAGCCATCATGACCTCCTCTGCACAAGTGCACTGAAGAGCATTTCTTCCACCGTATGTGAGGTCCTTGTTTTCCTAGGTGTCCCCATCTGGATAGAAGGGTCCAGGGTGAACCTGAACTCTGTGATTCTCATTTCTTTATCCCCAGTGCACAACAGTGGAGAGATAGAAAATGTTAGACTATTTTTCTCTTATTTTTCCCTAGGAAAAAAATCCCTACAAAAAAAAAACACCCTGCCTTTACCTTGGCCCTTTCGTCCTTAGGTCTCTCATCCCTTTTAGGGCTACTCTAGTCCCACCTGCTTCATTCGTCTACTCATTTTTAGACCTGGCCTTTCCTGCCCAGCCCACTTCTATTCTGTTGCTATCTAGGGGCTCCAGCTTAGCCTCCTTGTTAGGACTTTTTAAAAATCAGCCCTCCTTCTGGGCTACATTTGCACAAGGAACAGCTGTGACCAACCGGCTAGAACTTTATGGCAGCCTTGAAACCCACAGTTGTGCTTCAATCAACTGTGAGGTGCGTGGCAAGTAATTTCTTCATTTAATCATTAAAATTTGTCAGTAGTCTTTTTAAAACAAGTAGAGCAGATCCAAGGTAAGCCCTATGACTGTCATTCTCAGTTGCTTTCTGGAAAGGAGAAAAAGGAGTTAAAGGGCGCTTAGGGCACACACACTCATGGGAATGTGTTATGTCTCACACACAAAAGTTGCTTGGTTATGTCATGTGTGTCTCAAGCACTGCAAAGGTTGATTTACAAAATTCTTTTTCCGCTCCATCATCTTTTGAGCTATAAGGCTTGGTGTAAAAGAGATGGGTTTTATTTTTATCTGGAGAAAAGACTGCTCCTGGAAAATGTGAATTTTTAAATCCCTCCTGTGAAGTGTTAGCTCCTCTTAAAATTTAAATCTCACTCAGGGACACGAGCGAGTGATGCTCTTTTAATTTCTCCATCTTTCTCTTGGGCTTTGCTTCCAGAAAGCGGGAGGAAGAAAACAAGCGAAAAGAGGCAGAACAACAGAAAGAAAGGCTGAGCCCAGATTCCGATTTCTGCAGGGGTCAAGCCCCTCCCCGTCTGCCCAGCCTCCAGGACGAGCCCAGCCGGCAGAGCCCAGCCCCCAGCAAACAGCTTCCCGTCGACAACAGGGCCTCAGCCCCTGAGCCCAGAGACTGCGAAGGGTCTCCAAGAGGGTCTCCAGGCAGAGCCCCCCAAAAGGAGCAACATGTTTCCTCAGACTGGCGGGGAACAGACTCCAGAAAGCCGAAGGGTAGGTGTATTGCCTTTGTTATCTGACGCCAGCCCACGGACCCTGAGCTCTTTTGATTTGTGTATTTACACCATTTATATTTAATTATTATGCTAGCACCTAAGCCTGCCGTTTTATGATTTGTTCTCTGCTTGTTTCCTCTGGTTCCCAGTCCTCTGTTTCTCTTTCTTCCCTTTCTGTGCGTTACCCGAACATTTATTAGGAGTCACTTTGATTTATAGTGGCTTTGAGTGTATCTCCTTCTGTCGTTTCATAGTGATTGCTGTACATGTGGCTTATACCAATGACTTACTAATATCAACATTTTGCCACTTTGAGTGAAACGTGGAAGCTTCACTTTTCTGTAGGTACCTTTATTGTTCCTACTTTTGAATCACTGCTTCAGTATGAGATGAAATTATAAGTTTTGTTTCAATCAGATATAATTTATAAAACTAATGAAGAAAAGGATAGGTTTTGTTTTGGTTTTCTTTTTTTTTTTTTTTTTTTTTTGACAGGCAGAGTGGACAGTGAGAGAGAGAGAGAAAGGTCTTCCTTTTTGCTGTTGGTTCACCCTCCAAAGGCCGCCACAGCCGCTGCGGCCGGTGCACTGCACTGATCCGAAGGCAGGAGCCAGGTGCTTCTCCTGGTCTCCCACGGGGTACAGGGCCCAAGCACTTGGGCCATCCTCCACTGCACTCCCTGGCCACAGCAGAGAGCTGGCCTGGAAGAGGGGCAACCGGGACAGAATCCAGTGCCCCGACTGGGACTAGAACTTGGTGTGCTGGCGCCGCTAGGCAGAGGATTAGCCTGTTGAGCCATGGTGCCGGCCAGGATAGTTATTTTTTAAAACCATATTGCTACTTTTCTGTTGTTTCGTTGTCTTTCCTGATGTTCCAGAATTCCTTTTTTTTTTGTCATTGTCTACTTTTTATTTATTGAGTATTATGGCTGGGATGCGGTAAGTCTGATTATAGAGTGGATTGAAATTGTTTTTGCAAAAATTAAAGAAAAAGGAAAGGGGGATTGAGGAGAGAGAGCCTGTTAAACTGTACCTATGAAATATATGAAATCTTTTCTCTTTGAAGAGCTTTCTTTTAATTTTTATTAATACAAAGAGTTTTTAAGAATAAGTATTATGTTGGCCAGCGCCGTGGCTCAATAGGCTAATCCTCCGTCTTGTGGCGCCGGCACACCGGGTTCTAGTCCCGGTCGGGGTGCCGGATTCTGTCCTGGTTGCCCCTCTTCCAGGCCAGCTGTCTGCTGTGGCCCAGGAGTGTAGTGGAGGATGGCCCAAGTGCTTGGGCCCTGCACCCCGTGGGAGACCAGGAGAAGCACCTGGCTCCTGCCATCGGATCAGCGCGGTGCGCAAGCTGCAGTGTGCTGGCCTTGGCGGCTGTTGGAGGGTGAACCAACGGCAAATGGAAGACCTTTCTCTCTGTCTCTCTCTCACTGTCCACTCTGCCTGTCCAAAAAAAAAAAAAAAAAAGTATTGTTACTGGAGAATGCAAGGGTTCTTGCCTTCGCACAAGAAAGAATTCAGGCATGAGACAGAGAGTGAGTGGAAAGCAAATAGCAAGATTTATTAGGGGAGGCACATCCGTAGGAACGGATGGGCACCTCTCCAGAGAGAACCTGAGAGAGAGTGCCCAGTCACTCGGACTGGGGGAGAGCAAGTTACATGGTTGAGTGGAGAGAGTACACCTGGGCAGGCCAGGTGGGCAACTCAGCAGAGAGGCAGAGGGCTGAGCGCGCAGTCCGGTTGAGGCCGGAGGTTTTTAAGGGGAACTGTCTTGCCTCCCCGCCTCTGCTCCTCCTGGAACAAAGATGTTTTGGATGTAAATAAGAAAATTCCTTTCTGAGTTTCCCCCTGAAGTTATCAGACAGAGGGGCTGGCTAGCATCGCCCCCGGTTAGAGGAAGGATGGTTATTGGTTAGAGGAAGGATGGTTATTGGGTAGAAGGGGCAGGATGTTTCAAGTGCAGGTACTGGGCTGCACCCGGAAGGTTATTGGGATGACATTGAGATGCATATGCTGGACATATATGTCAACTCCTTAGGCCTTTGTCACACACAAAAGCTCATATCTGACTTCCTACCTAACAGTATGATAATAAATTCTTTAAGTTTTTCTATGCCTAAGAATGTTTTTATTTTATTTCTAAAGAATTATAAACCAGATACGGAATGCATGTTTGGCAATTATTTTAGCTCTTGAAAAATATTGTACAGTGGTTTCATATGAAATCTCCCATTAAAAATTGTTCTTCAAGATTTGCAGGCAACAGGTCATTTCTCTCTGGTTACTTTCAAGATTGCTGTTACCTTTAGTGTTCAAAGTCTAAGATGATGTGTCTCGGCATGAGTTTGGGGAGTTTGTCCTATACGGAGCTCACTATGTCAGGGTTTCTCCAGACCACCCCCACCTCCTTTGCTGAGAGGATTCACAGGACTCAGCTGAGGTTGGATTCACAGCTGTGATTTATTATAACAAAAGGACACAAAGCAAAATCAGCAAAGGCAGGTGGTGCATGGTGCAGAATCCAGAGTTAACCATGCATAAGCTTTCAAGAATCCTCTCCCAGGGGCCAGCTTTGTGGTGTAGTGAGTAAAGCCGCCACAGTGCTGGCTTCCCATATGGGTGCCAGTTCAGGTCCTGGCTGTTCCATTTCTGATCTAGCTCCCTGCTGATGCCCATAGGAAAAGCAGGGGAAGACAGCCCAAGTGTTTGGGCCCTGCCTCCCATGTGGGAAACATTGATCAAGCTAGCTCAGCCCTGGCTTTTGCAGCCATCTGGGAAGTGAACCCGCAGATGGAAGATATTCTCTCCTCTTCTCTCACCCCTCCCTCTCTCTCCACCCCTTTTCTCTCCCTCCTACAAGCTTTGTATCAGTAAGATTATCTGTTACCTACTGCTGGGTAACAAATGACGCTAAAATTAGATGGTGTAGAACAATTTATTATTCCTCCCAATACTCTGATTTGCTTGGGCCATTCCTCTACAGGTTTCATCTGGCCTCACTCACAGAGCTACAGTCAGGTGGAGAGTCCCTTGAATCACATGGTTTAAGATAGACTTGAATGTCTAGCATTTGATGCTGACTATCAGCTGGGGTTCCTTGACTCTACAGTACATGGCCCTTCATCCTCCAGTAAACTAGACTGATTTCCTAACATAGTGATGATCTAGGAAAGGAGTCTCAGAAAGCAAAGGCAGAAGCTACAATACCTCTTGAGAAATAGGCTCTAGAGCTTACACATCACATTCTCAGCATCAAAGCAAGTTATGAAGGGCAGACATTGTGACACAGTGGGTTAAGCTGCTCTTGGAATGCCAGCAACCCATTTCAGAGTGGTGGTTTGCATCCTGACTTCTCCACTTCTTTTTCCTTTTTTTTTTTTTTTTTTTAATGAGCTTATCTTTTAATTCCACTTTCCCATGAACTTTTCCTTTTTTTAAATTGATTCATTTTTTTTGACAGGCAGAGTTAGACAGTGAGAGAGAGAGAGACAGAGAGAAAGGTCTTCCTTTTTCCATTGGTTCACCCCCCCCCCCAAGTGGCCGCTACGGCCGGCGTGTTGCGCCAATCTGAAGCCAGGAGCCAGGTGCTTCCTCCTGGTCTCCGATGCGGGTGCAGGGCCCGAGGACCTGGGCCATCCTCCACTGCCTTCCCGGGCCACAGCAGAGAGCTGGACTGGAAGAGGAGCAACTAGGACAGAATCCGGCGCCCCAACCGGGATTAGAACCCAGGGTGCCGGTGCTGCAGGCGGAGGATTAGCCTAGTGAGCCATGGTGCTGGCCATTTATTTGTTTGAAAGGCAGATTTGTAGAGGGAGAGGGGGAAAGAGAGAGAGAGAGATCGAGATCTTCCATCTGCTGGTTCACTCTCCAAATGGCCACATTTGCCAGAGCTGGACTGATCCAAATCCAGGAACCAGAAGCTTCTTCCAGGTCTCCCAAATGGGTGCAGGGGCCCCAGCACTTGGGCCAATCTCCACTGCTTTCTCAGGTGTTAGCAGGTAGCTTGATTGAAGTGGAGCAGCTGGGACTTGACCCAGTGCCCTTATGGGATGCTGGCCTGGTGGGTGGTGGCTTTACCCACTATGCCACGGCACCAACCCCTTCTCTGCTTCTATCCAGCTTTTTGCTAATGCATCCTGTGAGGCAGCAGATAATGGCTCAAGTACTTGGGTCTCTGTCACCCACATGGGAGACGCAGATGGAATTTCAGGTTCCTGGCTTCAGACTGGCCCAGCCTTGCCTGTTGCAGGCATTTGGGGAGTGACCTGGGAGATGGAAGATGTCTTTCTCTCCCACTCTCTCTCTCTTTCACTCTGGCTTTCAAATAAACTTTTTTCTTTCCAAAAAAACGAGTTGAGAGCATCTTAGACTAAATGATGTGGAGAAATAAACTCCACTTTTGTGTATACTAGGATAAGAAGAATTTTTGACTGTTAGACTGTCACAGTTCCTTTTTGTTCACAGATTAGTCACGTTTCTCCCACATGCAAAATATTTTTACCCCTGTGCCAGGACCCTAAAATATTATCCCAATTATCACATTAAGCTTGGAGTTTGGATCTTGAGATTTGTATCAGGTCCAAATGTGGTTCTAGTTCCTTACGTGGGATTCTTTCTGATTCAAGATCAGCGAGCCAAACAGACAAGTTATCAACTCTCCCACTCGCATGTCCAGTGAGCCGTGGTGAGACGGGGGCAGATTAACCGCAGTAGACAGAAGGGGTGGAACAGGGGACTCCTAGCAGCACTTGTCTGTCGTGGTTCTGAAACCAGGCTGCTCTCATATTACCAGAGTATCTACTCCGAGGAATGGGATGGGATGTCCCCTCATTAGGGTCTCATTTAGCCCTGAGTGGCTTTCTATTCCGCTGTCTGCTGCCTGGATTCTTCATTCTACTCTCTGAGAAGTGCTTCCTTTCCCGTAGGAAATGGCTCATGCTTGCAGCTGCACAGCTCCCTCAACCAGTTTTCTGGCTGTAGGAAAACAGGCCCCGGAAGC